TTTTTGCCCTGTAATCGAATAGTGCTCTGCCCCCTCTTCAGCCACAGATGGGTTGCTGCTCATTATTGGTCAACATTGAGTACTAAACTGGGAAATCGGCAGGGGTTTCGGTATCATTTTCGCATTCTGATGTCCGATTACCGGAGCAACGCTAACTGGAGCAGCAACAATAGAAAAAAAGGTACAAAGCCAGCAGCGGCAGCAACAACTATTATGACAGCAAAGGCAATTTGTTGCACTCACTCAGACTCAGACACAGAGACTCGTACACTCGTACACTCGCACAAAAACCAGATAGAATTGTATCTGTGAGGGACAACTCAATGCGCCGCTCTCTGCTGAAGTTGTCGGCTATGAAAAATGGATCTGCTCCAGAAGATTTCAGTAATCTCGTTCGTCACACTTGGCCGCTCAAGTACAAATTTATGAAGAGTCCGCCGAGGAGCCCTCCGGCCCCGTCCAGCGTTCCAGTAACCCTTCGCTTCTGACCATGTCCAAGTTTGGTTTTATTAACTTGTATTTGTGCAGAGAAAGAAAAGTCGAGTTGCTTTGGAAATCAATTTGACTCGGAAAGAAAAAGCTTTTCCCAAATATTGTTCTTGGGTCAATTTATGTTCTCTACATTTATCCACAGTGCATGTAGTTCTATCTCCCAAGTCACTAGAGATGCACTCAAGAATGTCACGGTAGAGTGGCCAAAGTGTCAGTGGATTTGCTGCCAGTACAAGACATTCCGAGTGCCGGTTATGATGTAAGTTCAATAAATTTTCCATTGCAACAATGCCAGACAATGGCAGCCGGCAATCAGAGTTGCCTCAGCTCATTTGCATGGCAATCTTTGCGAAATCCCAGCTAAATGACTTTGGCAAACTTACAATATATATCCACCTCCTGTGTGAAGAAATGGGCGTTGCTGAAAGCGCACAAAACAATTAATGTGACTGCGATGGGCTTAATGAACTTTGCAAAAAAAAAAAGGGAAAAATAAAGAGCACAAATAATAATGAAAAAAAAAGCAAGTGGGAAAAGGGAAAACCTGCGATAACCCTTTCACATTCGATTTAGCATTTAACGATGCACGAAATCAGCCTCTCTCGGCGGCCAGTCATTTCCACAGTCATTTCCACAGCGATTTCCACTTCCAGGCCGACAATTTCCACACATTTTTCAATTAATTAAACCAAAAATATTCTTGCTGCTTCTGTTGGCCCCGGCTCGATGTGCCTTTTACAATTGACGTAAAATATAATTAAAATTGTTCATGTCAATACGCAAAGCGAAATTGGAGTTAAAGGGGGCTTTTCCAGGGGGTTTTTGCGCAAAAGTCGACGCGATGCGACGCATTCAATCAATGCGTGGCAGACAAAATGCAAAATGCACTTTTATTGTATTTTAAAACAAATTGAAAAGCCAACAATTCGCTGGGAAAAACGATGGCAAAAAGTTGGCAAGCTGAAAAAAAAGAATAACAATACTTTCGATACTCTATTCAAAAATGTGGGTCGGTGTTACATATTCTTTATAATAATTTAAAAATCTTCTTGATAACTGGACACTCTATATGTATTTTTTACAAACAATTTGCTTTAAATATATAATAAAACTCATCTAACTCTTCAGCAATTAAAGACAATGCCTTGTCTAAATTATTTTCCTAGAGGTTTTCGCTGACCTCGATCCATTCATGCCTCTCATTTGTTAATCGCAATTTATGGTCTAATATTTAGTTAAAATAGCAAGAATTATTTCCCATGTTTCCATGACAAAACAAAGCCCATCTGAGTTAGGGTATTTCTACATACATATGACAAGAAAATTCGCAATGCTGTGTAATAATAAATATTTTGTCTGGCCTCTGTTTTTGTACAACAATTGTTGTCTCTGCAAATGTGTTTTTCTTTTTTTTTTACTGTTGCATTTAATCCTACATTACTTCTGTAGCAGCTTTGATTTTTGCTGCCAATGTAAAATGGGCCAAAAAGGGCGTGGTTTTTGCCGCTGAATTTTCATGCTTGTCTAGTTTTATGTTTGCAGTTTTTACTTTCACCGTCGAATGCAAATTGTCAAAGCCAACTGTTGGCTGAATTTCATTTTGGATTTGCCAGCAGGCTTAGGGATCTATGAATATCAATAAATAAAGCTGAAATACAAGACTAATTCTACAGCATTGAGATCTTAACTATTTTTTTGGAATACAATTTTTATAGAAACTTTTAGTTAATACTTTCTTTTAGATTTGATTTTTCCTACAACACCTCTGATTACCCTCTTACGAATTTAAAAGGACCCCAAGGTCGCGATTTTATGCTCTAAAACTGGCACCTTTGCGACCCCAAAAAGTCAACCGTCTTTTCACCTGCCTAATGGCAATGCCACAAAACGCAGCGTCAACATCATTATGGAGAGCCGGCTGATTTCTTTTGACGAAAGCGCAAAAATTTTCCTAATGATGCCGCCTCGCAAAATCGACTGCAACTAACTGTTCAGTACACCCCACCGATTTTTACCCACTTGCCCCCTAGCTGGCTGCAGTAATCTGGTCATGGCCAACATGGATGATTGTTGACTTTTATGATTTCCATTTCTTAGCATTATTATGGACGTGTGGCGAATCAACAGCGGCAAATAGAAAACACAGCAGTTGTAGCAACAGCAACAGCAGCTCCCAGTGGTAGGAAAAATCAATAGAAATCCCCCGGATGGGGCTCCCAACTCTCCCCTGTTCATCTGCGGTGCGTATGCCATAAATCGTAACAATAACCACTTGCCACTTGGCCAGACAACGAGCAGACATCGAGTTGGACTTGGTTTCGGATTCGGACTCGGATTCGGACCTGCAGCTGGAGTTGGAGTTGGACATTGAGTTGCCGCAGAAGGCGGCATACGATTTCACTTGACTGACAAACAGACATAAGCAAAGTGTTTGCCCGTTTGCTGGCTTGGCCATATCCCTCAAGTGACTTTCTAAGCGTTGTCCGAATGCCGGCAACATGAGAAATGTGGAGCGAAGGCCGTGCAGATGCAGTAGCCAGTAGTAATAAGAGCTCAATGCTATTATCAGCGGCATCAAATCCTCATTTGCTACTGGTTAGTCGGTACTCTGCTTAAATGCAGTGGTATATTGGGGTATATCTCAGGATCTGTATGGGTTCGGGTAGCGAAATTTGGTATACAAACTTACTTGGTACTAATGTTTAATAAAGTTTTCCTTTTAACACTAAAATAGCTTTTTAAATTCCTTTTCAACACTGATTTTGTGAATTTTTAGTTAAAAATAAAAATTTTAAGTTTTATTTGCCACACTAGGTATCTTTAAGTCGTTCTCCTTTTGTATTTTTCCTTGTCCCCTTGATAGGCGTATCCCATATTCCTGGGACATCCTTCAGGCCTGTGTGTCCAGTGTTGTGTAGTGTGCTCACAAATATTGTCGCACACAACTCATAAAAAGCCCATTTATAACTGTTAACTTGTACAAAAGTATTTACAGACGATTTAGCAGCTCACAGAATTACAGCCATCGCCACACAATTGCAATTGTTTATTTGTGTTTACTGCTCTGGCCGCTTCCCCCCCTCAATGAAGGGGGGATTTAACCCCCTTCCTCTTTATCGCCCCGGAATTTTCCCCTTTTCAACAGTGCTTCTTCTGCTTTGGCAACTACTCCATCTCCCTTTTGGTAGCAATAAAAAGTGTTGTTATTTGTACAATGTTGTTTGTGTGTGCCAGAGTGTGTTTTTTTATTTTGTTTGCTATTATTGTTGTTATTATTACAGTTGTTGTTGTTTAGTGGCCAACACAGCTGCTGCTGACACGCAGAATTCAATGCAACAAGCAGCAGCAACAAAAAAATATATAAAAAAAGAAACAATAGCAAAAAAAGCAGAGAAAAGTAGAAACAAATAAAAAGCAGTAGCAGCAAAAATCATCGAGAGAACTCAAAACCGGGAGAGTCCAAAGTTTGCCATTGTCCCATGGCTGAATGGCCACAAAGACGAAGGTACAACCGAGTTTTGGAAGGGAGTTAAGGGTTAATAATAACACTTGCCAAGGTGCGAAAAGGTTTTTTTCCCACCAAACAATGGCGAAAAGTAATGTAACTCTGATTTTGATTTTACAAATTTTTATGTAATTAAGGAAACTGAAGATAGACTCTCCTTAAGACTTTCTAAAATCTGATTTAAGGAAGTGTTTCATTTCTATTTTGTTAAATAAATTGTGCAACATGACAAACAGTTTTTAACAAGGAGTGCTCTGATATTAATTCATATTTCATTCGCAAATTAATCTCCGCCAAGAAAACAATCTTTGTTCACACATTAATAAATTCAGATGGTTGAGCATTATTTGCTGCTAAACTTTGGTGATTAATAATTCTCAAGGCCTTGGCTAAACACGCTCAAGTGAATGGAGCAGCTTGTGACCTCATAATTACCTACATTAGAATGTGCCTTAAATTCAATAAGCTCTGTATTCTAAGCCGCTTAAACGTTTACCAAATCATTACATCAGTGCTAATTAGGCTGCCTACATAGGGGAAATTTCAGATAGGTCTAATTTTACAAAACCCCCGAATATAAGTAGCTCAATTCCTAAATAATTAGCATAATATGCTTTTAAATCAATTTGAAATACGTGTTGAATAATACCTCCCATTTTCTGGCAAGGGAAGAGCCTTCAGTTTGTTTACATTGTCTGTATTTGTTTTTATTTACAGCGCAAAACAAAAAAAAAGAAAAAGTAAACAAATGCATTTTATCTGCTGACCAACAGAGTGCAGCAGCACATTTATAGGAAAATGGGTTATGAAAAACAATTGGAAAAGGTATTAAATTTATGTCAGTCCCTGCCTGCTGCCTGCGGGGCTGTTGTTAAATTTTATATGCACATACGCAGACGCTGTCAGCGGAATTTCTCATATTGATTTTGCTTTAAATAATAATCTCTTTTTCACTATTTTTCACTACATTTTCCTTTTATTTCTGTTTTTTTTTCGCTTTCAGTGGGCTGCAGCGTTTAATGGCCGATGGATAAAGTGAGGTAAGTGAAACAAAAAGCCAGAAAGGGGAGCGTTTTTTGTGGCTTTGCTTATTAAAAATAGCTGCCTGCTGCTGCTGCTGCTTAAAAAAAAGAAACTTAAAGTGCATGGACAGAGACACAGACGCAGTCACGAGGCTTGTTGGAGCATTTTTCAAGAATTGGGACAACAAGGCGCATAAATAACCGACATGCCACCAACAAAAAAAGCGATGAAAAAGCCTGTAAAAAACTAAGCGAAACTCGCCAAGATACTGCACTTAGAATAGTAAACAAGCAATGGCGACTGGGGTTGGTGCACTGAGAAAAATAAATACTTAAAAGGGTGTTTTATGACCTTAAAATTGTCATTTAATACGGAGGATCACTAGGGCCTAGAAAATAAATATAATATATTTCTTTGAAAATGTTTTATTAACATATTTTCCGATGTTACCAGTAAATATTTGTGATATTAACTGTTCCAAAAATGTTTCAAGAAATTAGATTCATTTCAAATTGAATATCCTCAACCATTTCTCTCAGTGTCCTTAGCACGAGTGTGTGTAAAGGAATTGCAACTAAATACGAGTGCTAAGATGAAACGCAATGCATCCCCGTGCCCCGGATTCTCTCCCCTCCCCTACACAGTGGGAGCAAAAAGAAAGCGCTCTTACCGGTTTTCCACTGTCCCAGAGACACTGGTGCTGCGCGGGTACAGGTTTATTTTCCCGTTGGGACTGTGTGACAAATCAAGCGAGAAGCGAGAGCGAAGACAACAACCGCGACCAGAGAGAGGGAGAAAAAGAAAAACAGAAAAGAAAACAGAAACAACTGCAGCCTCCATGCGCGGAAAACGTCAATGGCCAGGAAAATTCTGGCAGGGGGCACCAGGTTCTCCGGGGGCACTGCCAGCTACGTACGACGCTCTGCGTAATGGCAGCAGGAAATTGAAAAAAAAACTTGCCGCGAGCTCACCTTTGGGTCGCTTCTGTTGCATTTCCTTGACTGTTCTTGGAGCTTTTCCCTAGCCACAGGGTACTCGCGGAAAAATCGGGTATACCTTGGTATATAGTGACTGGAAAATAAGTTAGCTAAAGCAAAAGGTATAGAACTTTCATAAAATGTTTTAAAAATGTATATCTATTTATTGATACTAAGAATTTTCTGTTTATTTTTATAAACATTTCTTTATTACCTTTAGTTTTATAGCTCAGAACACCTGAGCATCTAATAAAAAGTCTCAAAATTGCATAAATGCTTTCAGAAATACAATAATCATATGTTTTTTCTTGCCGTTAGCTATGAACATAAATTTGGCTCAAATAAGACACATTTATAGCCACATTTCCCATAGTTGCATCTGAGAGAAATCCAATTAAATTTGAAATTGGCAATTGACGATTATTGTTATGAAATTGTTGGTAGTAGTGGGTATCGTATAGTCGTCTTTGGTCGTCAATTCGATTTTTTTGCCTGAGCTTGACAGTTGTTTCCACCTTAACCGCCTAGGAAGAGTGTCAAAAGTCAAACACTTTTGCCTGTCGCAGACCCGATCTCTTGAGTTGTGAGAGTCACAGAGAAGGCTCTTTGATGATGTATGCCACTTTAGAGTCTTTTGGCAAAGGTGGTTCTAAAAAAAACAATTTTTTACGATTTAAATGTAAGTCCTGATCCTGTAAACATTTACTTGCAAGAATTGTCTACTCTAAAATTGTTCTGTCTAATTTTATATCGAGTTACAAACAATTTTTCTTCTATTTTCTCTGTTTATTTGGAATCGTTTACTTTTGTAAAGTCTAAAATAAGATCCTAAATTAATGTTTCTTAGCTAATAAATCACATTTTACCTAATGAAGTATTTCGCTAAATATATATATAGTATATACTAGCACTATTTAAAGACGTATATCCTACATTTTTCCCATATCCTGTAGATACTTTCGCTTGCTCTGCTGCTGCTTGGCTAGCTGCCTCTGCATATTGCTGCGCAATCTGTCCCGATATAGTCTCTCCCGATCCAGGGCCCTGTTTAGCTGGCAACTGGCCTCCGTGTCGAGCTCCAGGTCAAAGGCCGTCTCCCACTGCCGGCGCTGCTGCAGCTGAATGAGCTCGTTCGTCAGTGCCAGCTTGGTGCTGGCGATGCGCATCAGACGCCTCTTGGGCCGACACAGTTCCCTGAGGTGGAGATAGAGGGCATAGCTCACGGATTTCTCCGCCCCCAGGGATTTTCCGCCGTCTGACATTTTTCCAACTGCTATGGTACCTCGTCTGCTGCTGCTGCTGCTGAATGTTCTATGCAAATCAAAGCGTTCTCCCCGGCGATTGGAGGCCAAATGATGCAATCAGTGCGTGTGCGGGCGCCTTTTAAGCCAGTCAGGTAGATCGATCAGGGTTTGCAGAAATCCTGAATTTATTGAGCCAGCCATCTTGGGTTGCTCTGCCGCCGTGCAACTGGAGAGCTCAATTAGCTTTTACCTGGAGAAGGTCGGGGAGGAGACCGAGTGCATGTATGCCCCTGTCTCTGTGTACCTGATGCCAGTACCTGCAGGCTGGAGCTAATCTCGTACCGCGACTTGAACTGATTACATTTTCCGACCCAGCTGCGATTTCTGCCTCCGATTTTCCAGCTTTTCCGATGCGACGGCAGCGGCGCTGCTGCATCGGTGTCATTTGCCAGCGGGTAAAGCAGGAAAAGCGGCGGAATAGAGCTCCTGGTTCAATGCAAATGCGCTTTGCATGTTGCCGCTAATTGGCAACAGTTGTCGATGCCACTGTTTTTTCGCTGCTATATCAGAGTAGCAGTGCACTGGGCAGAAATATTGAGACCAAGAATGATACCTATAAGCTATATGGGAAGTACTTTAAATAGGCTTTAATAACTTCAAGGATCTTGTATAAAATTAGGGAAAGAGTCAGCTGTTTTCGACTATTTACCATTATGTAATTACAAACCTCTAACATTATCGAGCTTGTTACATTTGTTTTTGGTTCCTCATTAATTTTTCACCGCTCTAAAAATGCTCTGAGTCACAATTTGTTTTCTTTAAACTCGAGCACATATTCTCGACAACTTTGTGGTAGTGTATGTATCTCAGTTCTTTTAGTTTCCACTCCACCGCGGCCTGCATGATTAATGAACGCCGTTATGCTCTTACGGCTCTTACGGTTCAGGTCAGATCGGAGGTCGGATCAGGCCCTACATATGGAGCGGTACGCGGTGCGTTTGCTGGCCATGTGTGTAACGCCGAGGTGTTGCATAAGTCGACGCCATAAAACCGAACCGGCAGAAAAACAATAAAAGACCAGCAAATTAGAAATTACCTTTATGTGTGCAATGCAAAGTAAAAAAAGAAAAAACTCGACAGAAGAAGAAACAACAAAAAATGGTAACAAATTTACACACAATGGGCAGTTAGGCTGAGGTTGCAAGGCGTAAAGGGGGCAATGCCTTGTGGCAGTGCGTGGCATTACATAAGCGGTTTCTTTTGGCCAACACTCCGCATCTCGATCTCATTAAGCCTGGGCCTTAATCGGAACTCGTCGTGGGGTTAAATCGGAACTGGAGTTACCCATTCAGGGCTTCCTGAACTGAACTGGCCAAGACCCTCAGCAGCTGCCTTTATTTCAGCTGCTAATTAACCCACATGCTGCCGAGTGTGAAGTGGAAATTGTGCTCCGGGCAGTTCCAGCTGCATTACAATGTTATCCAAATGACAATACGCAAAATATATAAAACCCTTACTGCCGCCGGAAAGTTTTTCCTGGCCAAAACTACATGCAACACAAAAAATATACAGTATTTGCGCACAGAGAAAAATAACTAAAAAGTACATCAAAAATACAACAAAGCAAAACAAAGCGACAAAAAGGACTGTTTTCCACATCAAAATGCACATAAATAATAAATGGAACCAGCCAAACGACCAGAACAGGAACCCGGACGGACACGAGGACTCGGAACCTAAAAACAAAAGCGAATCGAGATGCCAGAATCGAGAGAACTGCAAGAGCTGGGAAACTGAAAACGGAAAGCTGGAAACTGAAAACTAAAAACTGGGAACGGAGAACTGCGAGGAGCAAATAATGTTGGTCAGCAGAGGAGCCTTTTGTTTTTTGGGACAACTGTTAATAATGAAAAAGCTCGCAAAAATTATGAAATTAATTTTCAAATTTTAATTATGCAACAGTTGCCCATTGCCGTTGCTTCTCATCGAGCTCCTCAAAATGCAAATTGACTTACACATACAGAAAGTCCATGGAGTTGTCCCTTTTGTGGCTGCGACTGCAACACCGCCCCATTTTCCAAGGATAAGTAGATACTAGAGATGGCAGGAATATCGTATACTTTGTGTTGATAACAGGCATCGATAATTTCGATATCATATTATTTTTATACCAGAAATCAATTCTTTTATTATCTCTAAAATGCTTGAGAATATAAAATTCAGAAAATATATAAGAATAAGTAGTTACTACTAGAATAGTATATTTTATGTTGATAACTGACATCGATAGTTTCTATATCATTTTCAAATACCGCTAATTATTTGTGCTTGTAGATAAGTGTAAAAGCAACCAGCTTTCGATAACAACAATAAATTATATATAGGGATACATCAATGATTATTCAATATCATTCTATATTATTACAAAATATTATTTGAACTTTTCGATAAATATATCGAATTAATCGTTTTCAATTGAATAGCTAAATATTATTAGAATATAAACACATTTCATGAATTTTTTACCATTTAATAATACTTAAAATATTTTTATTCCTGCTTGCGAGACAATATATACCTCACAAAGCATTATCTATATTATGCCACCTCTAATAGGCTCTGACCTCCGTCCAGCTTTGTTGGTGCAGCTGCAGCCCCGGGTCCCAAAACCCCACTGAAAACCCCCTCTAAACTCCGCTTCCACCGCTCACAAGCCATTCAATTGAGGCTCATACACGCATCCGTGAGACTCCAGCCGGGTGTGCTGCTGTTCAACTTTGATTAGAGTTAAGCCCTAAATTAGTTGCTGCCGTTGGCCGCGTTGATGGAACGACCTTTAGGCCGCGTTAATACTTCCTCTGTTCCGCCGTTCACCATGGGAATGAGAAGGGCGAGACGAGCTTCTCGATGAAGTCATCGAGTGGGATACAGATGCAGATAAAAGTGATATATTTGAAAGTATTATACAAAAATTAAGGAAATAAATATAAAGTAATAAAGTGAATACAAAAAAAACTGTTTTAAATAATTAAATTCTTACTTCTGTAACATATTCCTTCAATTCATTTAAGTTAGTAAAGGTATTTTCTTGTCGGATGTGGTTAATCCCTGTTTACTTGGTCACAGATTGGGATGTCGTTAACAAACACACACGGCTGCATCGCATCACATACATGTATGTAGGAATATATTCCACCGTAAACGTTAACCATCCGAGTGTTAATCGCCTCGACTTCGACGCAGATGTCAGCCGGACATGGCCGAGAACAATGCCCGTGGCAAGTTGGCAGCAGCACTTCCGAAACTTGGCCGATGCCAACTTATTAGCGGACACCGTTTAATGGGCCCAATTAATGTCAACCAAGTTCGTCGTCAGCGGCTTTATTTCGGCTGCTTACTGCTTACTTCTGGGCGACTTTGCAGCCTTTGGGCCAAGAGTGAAATTGACTTGAAACGAAAGTTTCGCGGCCATTGATTGGCTCGCTCCGCTGCACGCCAACAAAAAGCCAAGTCCGAGTCGAAAACTTTTTCGGATTGAACATTTGTAGAAATGCATAAAAATTAATTAACAAGCAGATGCCGTACCGAGGAGCAGTTTTAGCTGAAATTATTATTAGCCATTCGAGGCAGCTACTACGTAGACGGAGATGGAGGAGCCAGAGAGTCGCGCAAAAATTAAAGCAAAAGCATAAGAATTTTTAATTGGCTTTTCTGCTTCATCTTCTTGCTGCTTTTGTTGCTATTATTATTCTCGTTGTATTTGTTGTGTTTCCTACTCAATGCCGTCGTCATCGTCGACTTCTCGCACATTTAAGCCTAATTAACTTTCTACTTAGAGCTCAGTTTTCATCTTCTCGCTGGTGCTACAGGGGGATCTACACTGAGGAAAGCAAGGTCGTTTTAATTTGGATTTCTTAAGCTAATATAAAATATGGAAAGTCTGTATCAAAGGCTTTAGGATCCTATATTTATTAATCTGTTCTTTGTTTTTAATAAATTAGCAAAAATATTAAGTATACGCCCCAGAACTCATATTTTGAACAGCTACTTTTGCACCTTTTTTAGTGTAGGCCTCCATTCCTTGGCTTTGACTGCAGCTTCTGCATTGTTCGCCTTTAGTTTTAGCCTTCTTCGTCCCGTTGTACCTTATTGTGCTGGCCGCCTTTTGGTGTTTTAGCTGCTTTTTGCTTTTTTTTTGCTGGCAGCTCTTGCACTGCGTCAACTTCTAATTTCATTTGAAGCCTCCGCTGCTGGCTTTGATTATGCTCTTGCCAGGGCCAAGCGCAGAATTCGCTGGCTAACAAGGTGAAAAGTAGGTGAATGTTAAGCGACGCCGGCACCAGCAGTAGCGGCAACAACAACAACAATGTTGGGAAAACAAAAGAAAAATGGCAACAACACTAACAATGACAAAGAGTAAACAACATTTAGCGAAAGAGCAGGAGTGGAGAGAAAAACAAAACAAAAGACAAAACGTGCCAAAAAAGGGTTAGAGCCAAAAACAAAAGACAAACAAACAAACATATTAAAGTAAAATGTTGTTCGTCCGACAAGATGTTGCTGCCGTTTTGGGAGAGTATATCGAAAGGAAAAATAAGTGATGATAAAATAAAAAATATATATTATATTAATTTAAAAACTCGAATGACTGTTTAAAGTGTAAAGTCCCCAAAAAGTTATAAAAAAAAGAAAAACTTCATTGAAAGCTAATTATGACAATAGTTTTCGACATCTTTGTTCACGAAAAAAAAGCTAATAATAGTTTTAAACATTTTTGTTTACAACAATCGATTATAAATCGACTTTTTAACTATTTTTAAAAGAATTGGATAAGATATATTGAAATACAACCCGTTAAGAGATCAATATATCGAAAGGTTTCCACTACCTTTATACAAAATATATTCTATCAAACCTTAAAAATATCAAAATTAAATGTAATATCGACCCGATAACCAATTCATCGATGGTTTGTTCCATCTCTATTCCTGCTGCGTAAATGTTGCTGCTGTTGTTGATGGCTCCGATAAGTTGCTGCTGCTCCAAGCTCCAAGTTGCTGTCTGGAATCTGGACTGCGGAATCTCGGATCTTTGGGCGATAGCTGGCATCTTCCTCTTCACCGGAAGTGCACATTAAGCGTTTTTAATTTCCAGTTTTGCACAACTTGAAAACTGTTTGCAGAACAACAAAAAAACACAGAAAAACAGACACAAAGAAAAAGGGAAAGGCGTGGGTGTGGATGGAAAGTGTTGC